ATGGTGCCAACTTGGGCCAGTGAAGCAACATCCTCCACAACTAGACTGAAGAACAAAACAACAGCAACTTGTCTGTTCCCCTTCCCCCAATTCCCCAGTAAAATCTTTAAAAAAAAAAAAGTTTATTTTAAAAACAAAACAAAACAGTTGATGCCCACACAGGGCACACGTGCCCGTTATGCAGAGGGAGCCTCCAAGGCCTGGGAGATATTTTTCTTGTGTGAGACAGACAGCGCAGGGACAGTGCTGCAGCAGAAGGCAGAGGCCTGGGTTTGAGTTCCAGGTCTTTTTGCCCCTGGCCAGCTGGGCGCCTGGCAAGTGACCAGTGTGAATAAAAGTTCAGGTGCCTTTCTTGCCTGGCCCAGGCTCTCTCCCCAGCCACACAGCCTCCTCCACATTCAGGGGTTCATGGCACAACCCCTCATATATGAAGAAGATGGCACCATCTTATACCCTCAGCAAGGAAAGGGGTCCCTCAGGTTAAGGCCATGGAGAGGGGAGGAACCCAGCCAGCCAGCCCTGGGCCAATTCCCTGAAGGCCTCAGCTAATCCCCAGGCTGATCTTCCATTCATATCCCGGCAGCCCAGCAGGTGAGCCAGGAGAGCCACACAGCTGACAACAGGCACACAGAGCTTGGGCAACACTGCTGGGCCTCACAGTTCTCTTCAGGAGTGGGGAGGCCAGGAGCCCCACACCCATCTCCTTGCAGGTGACGCACAGTAGCCTCAGCCTCTTGTTTGCTGTGTAAACTTTCGCGGCCCCCACCCAATCTGCCCCATCAGAGTCTGATGACCCAGGTTTCTGACAAGCCCCAAGAGCTCTCTAGGTTGGGGTCTGCATGGCCTGGGAGTGAAGCAGGGGTTTTCAGGGTGTGCTGGAGCTAAGGCTGGGAGACTTCTGGACAAGTGGGCAAGGTGCCCACCCCTCAGAAGTGCTCCAGGCCTCCCTAGGAGCCTGTTAATCTGGGCCTCCAGAGTTCATGAGGGAGCGGGCTGGCAGATCCAGGGAGATGGCGAGACCATCAGGCACCTGGTAGGAAAGGAAGACAGCTGTCTTCTGACAAGCTGGCCAGACTGAATTCCACAAAAGGAGAACATTTAAAAGAAGTATCTTTTCAGGGCTCCTTCACCTGAGCCCAGATGCGGGAAGCAGGCCCAGGCCAGTGTGTGGTAAGTGGGTGGGTCCCAAGCTTGACTTTCCGCCCAACGCCTCCTGTGCCTGAGTGTCCTTGTACGAAGCAGCCCCTTCCCTGACAGATCACTGGAGCACCCTGAGGTCACAGACCATTACTGCCCTACCTGACTTAGGGACAGGGTTGGAGGAGATGCTGAATCATAGGCCAGAGACCCCTTCTTCAGGGATGGGCTGGTAGTGATCATGGCTGAGAGTTTGTTCAGATAGTCCTGGGTTCGAGTCCTGGCTCTGCCACTTGACCAACTGTCTTCATGGGCAGGTGACTTCATTTCCCTGAGACTGTCTTCATCTGTTCAATGCGGACAACATAAGTGCCCCTCACTGGAGGGATGTAGGATTATGATCCTGTGTGTCAATTACCTGTATACAGCAAGCCCTCCCAAAGCCATAGCCCCATCAGCACTACTGCTGTTGACAATAGCCATTGTTTTATGATTATTACCAGTAATAATAATCATATGAGCACTTCCCTCTGCCTTAATTTCATCATTCATAAAATGGGGACAATAAAAGGGCTGACATCATGGGACTGTTGGGCTGATTATATGAGTCGAGTGCTTGGAAAAGTTCCTGGCATGGAGTAAGCACTCAGTAAATGTTTGTCATGATTGTTATTACTGTTTTATTATCACTGTTGTTGTCATCTTAGCCCTGGAAAAGCTCAACAAGCTAGCACAGGCTTCTCCAGGAAAGACGCATTTATATGCCTAACCCGGGAACGGGACGTTCACGGAAACGAAGCCATTTGCAAAGGTGGGAACCGGACCCCGCGCTCCTCCCTCCTCCACTCGGGTTTCACGCCACCACCCCCCCCTACCCCTGCCCCCATCTGCAGGCATCTGCTCCGCCTTGGGGCTGGCAGCAGCCCCAGCAGCCGGCTGCGGGCCAAGGAGGCAGGGGCTGGGGTGCACTCGGGGCTGCACGTGGGGTGCACACGGGAGAAGCCGCACGTGTCCATCAGCGCCAGGCCGCCTGCGCTGGGAGGGTCGGGCAGGCTGCGGCGGGTCTCTGGCGCGCAGCCTCAGGCGTGCTTCCTGGGCGCCCTCCACTCCTGCGCGGGTGTCAGCGCTGGGGGAGCACGGGTGCTGTGAATGCCAGCCAGCGCGGGTGAGAGGCCTTTCTCCCTTCCGCCCACAGGAACCTAACAGAGTCCTGACTCCCCAAGTCACAGCCTCCGAGGAAAATCGGAATGGCAGCCGCAGTCATCCTGGATGTCCACCTGTCTTTTGCTTCCCCTCCCCCCTCTCCCTTCCACCCTCCCTCCCCAACATTGCCAGCAACTCCTGTTGACTCCAGCAGCTTCTCCACACCCCTATGGCCCCCTGGGTGTCCAGCCACCATCCTCTCTCCGCCCCACCCCAGCCTATTGCAGTCGCATCCTCACCCCCAGCCTTGTCCTGCTACACAGCTGGCACAGCCGCAGCTGCCAGCGTGATTGTTGTAAGCTACCTTTTGTGTTAAAAGGACAGAAAAAGCAGAACAGGATTATACGAGCTAGTATTTGCATGACGAAGCCACCCTATCCTGGTAGCTGTGATAAGAGTTTGGAGGTGTAGTCCAAAGCCTGTATAGTTGGGGGTGGTCCCCTTAAGAAAATGAATAGAAAATTAGGTACAAAAGGTGAGATTTAGAATGAGAAAAGGAGTCACAGAAAATGAGAAATTTTAGAAAGCTGAGAAATGGCACAAACATCCAAAAATCCAGAAAAATAACACAATATTTTTATCAATCGCCTGTCTGACATACCTTTATAATCCTTTCCTCCAACATTTCATTGATCGCCTTCATATGACGACAATTTTTTCATTGTGTGTATAGGGAATTAAAAGATAATTCAGTCTTTCCTCTAACATGGCCTGTTGAGTAAAATTTTTACTACTACAGACTGTTTAGGAAAGTTTCAGTTTCACAAGATGTACTTGGAAATGCTTTATATAAACACACACACATTTCAGCACCATTGTTAAATTTGGAAAAATCTCCTTCAAGTTTTTTTATATATGATCTGTTACAGACACCTTTGTCGCTTTTACTGCAGCTATAAGTTTGTACCCTACAAACATAGAAATCTGATCATTGTATTTTGCATGAACTTACCCAAAGAAGAAAAAAAATGTATGTGGTTTTGATTGTATACTCTGCATTATTCAGTCTATTGCTGCAGGAGAGGACTTTGGTTTGGACTAGGCGTCCATGACGGCAACGAGAAGTCAATCCTCCATTTACAACTTCGCATGTCTTATGGTAGGAAGCACTTTGTGCAGAAGAGCTTCAGGCTCCCTACATTTCAGGCCTGATTTCCTTTCAGTTTCTGCACACTTTTTGTGCTGGGAGCTGTAGAGCATAATCATATGGTGACATACGAACTCTAGACCAGTATCTCTGAATCACGGTCCAGGCGAGCGGGCGAGGTCAGCTGCAGGCAAGCTGTCTTCTACACCAAGATGGCTGACTTAGAACCACATTCGTTTATCTCAGTAAACTCAAATTAAATGTGGCCCCAACATAACTTGCCCTAAAATGGACCCCCTTAGCTGCTAGCAGATGAAATATATTACTTTTGAGAATTTTGCATATGTGACCGATGAACATAGGTCTGGGGCTCCACCTGGGATAAAAGAAGGAGTCTGTGCATACAAGAAACCCTGAAAAACTTAAGTTTTCTGAGTGCTATGGTCTGAATGTGTGTACCCCCTTCCCACCCCCAAATTTCTATGTTGAATCCTAATGCCCAAAGGTGATGGTATTCAGAGGTGGGGCCTTTGGGAGGTGGTTGGGCCCTGAGGGTGGAGCCCTCGTTAACGGGATTAGTGCTCTTATGAAAGAGCCTTTGTGGAGCTCCCTAGCTTCCACCAGGTGAGCATACAAGAAGCCTACAACCAGGAAGAGGGCCCTCGCCTGACCATGCTGATACTCTGATCTTAGACTTCCAGCCTCCATATTGTGAGAGATAGTTTACGAATTTTACGAATTTCTGCTGTTTATAAGCCACCCAGTCTGTGGTATTTTGTTATAGCAGCCTAAACAGACTAAGACACTGAGTTCTATAGTAAACCCAAGTCTGGACAACAGCTTTCTCATCTGTGGAACGGCATAATGATAATAATAGTACCTGCCTTATGAATACATTATTACATGAAAAGCAATTAGAACCATTTCTGGCACATAGTAAGTGCTTATTAAACATTCGCTGACTGAATGACTGATGAAATAGACTTGTAAACTGCAAAGTGAGTGCCATTCAAATTCTTTTAGTCCAGTTAACAGTTGGCATAAGCCAAACCAATTCACTGAAGCCCTTACATAGCAGATTGTAAAACCTGGTTTTAAGAAGAGAAGCAAACTTGTCTGCAGCAGCTAGGGCTGGAGCTGGGAGCATCTCAAGGAAGTGTTTATTCCGCCCCCACTCACAGCCTCAGGGATGAGAATCTCACTATCTCTGGAGGCAACCAGCTCCTTATGCATCTAAAACCTCCCACCCATGTTTCCAACACTGGCTGTATGTGCCTGCCCCCCGCCCCCCCCCCATTCCCAAAGAGAAGGAGACCCAAGCTGATAGGCAGAGACTCTGAATGATGAGAAAGCTGGAAGGTTAAAGTCACCCTAACCTTGAAAACAGAAAGAACAAGATGTTTTAAGCTCTCTGTAGGACAAACAAGGGAATCAAGAAAGAGCCAAGGAAGTCATCCAGTGGAAGAGGCGAGAAATGTGGACTGAAGGAAGTCATCCTATGGAGAGATAGGGAGAAAGAGCAAGGGGCAAGCCAGGATGATATAGAGAGAGGTGCTCGGTGAGCTTGGAAGGAGCTGACCTCACCTCATTCTCCTCACGAACATTGCTCACGCATCAACAAACATTTAGTAGACACCTGTGGTTTGGGATATAGCAGTGAGCAAGACCCAAAAATCCCTGCTCTCATGCAGCTTAGGTTTTGGTGGTGGAGACAAAATAAACAAGGGAACAAAGAAGTAAAGCATGAGAAAGCAATAAAGGACAATGCAGAAAACTGAGATGGGGTGAGGTGGTAGGAAGCACCAGGGGCTACTTTACATTGTGAGGAGACATTTGTGCTGAGACCTGATGAGTGAGAAGGAGTCAGTCATGGGTAGATGAGGGAAGTGCATTCCAGGAAGAGGACCAGCAAGTACAAAGGCCCTGAGGTGGGCACAGGCTTGGCATACTCAGGGAACAGCAAGGAGTGGAGTGAGCTGGGGAAGTGTGGTAGGGGACAAGTTTGGACTGGGGAGCAGGGAGTCAGACATGCAGGAATTTTTTCAGCCAGGATATTGAACTTGAATTTTTTTCTAAGTACACGGATTTCAAAGAAAATACTACATGCTAGTGTTCAAATGGCCTAGACACTTTTTAAAGTAGTGTTGAGAGATAAACCAAGCATTTACAGAGCATGCACTATGAGCTAAGCTCTTGGACAAGACCTTTCATGGCCATTTTTCCATTTGATTCTTAAATGGCAATGGGCCACCTGATTTCCGTTTTACAGCTGATCCAAAAAGGTGAAGTGATTCATCATCCCATGTTCCAGAACTAGAAAGTGGCGGAGCCCAAGTCTGGCTCATGTTCTACTATGACACAACTTCACAGCACTTCCTAAAATGGGTGTGGATTCTTTACAGTTAATAAGGTGCTTTTATCTGCACCTTATCTCATGTGCTATTACTGAGTGTTATCACCTCTTTGCAATGGCCTGGGAAATGTTTCCGAGACCTTGAATGACTAGTCACAGCTCTGCAGCTGCTCTTTATCCTTAGTTTTCAGCAACTTCTCTCTGAACAGGACCACTGTGACTCAAACTCAGAGTTGGATCCAGCCAGCACCAGTGGAAGTTAGAGGAAGGCTGCTGCTAGCCCACACAGCGTCTTTGTGCAAGTCAGAAAAAAGGCTCCCTTTGCTCAAGACACTTGACTTTCAGCTTCCAGAAAAGTGTTGTAATGATAGTTCTGTTAGAGCACCTTCTGAGGTCATCTGTAAAAAATTATCTTCATACATATGTGAATCTACGCTGTCTTTGAAGTGAGAGGTGCTCACTAAGATGTGGTACCATTGTGCAGTGCACAACCTGAGTGATTAGTGATTTTCCATGCCCCTGCATAAAATATTTAGAAGAAGAAAGCTATGAGCCCCAGCAGAGAGACGATCCATTTGGAAGGGGCCACACTAGACCACACATGAACACATGATGTACTCCAGAGGTGACCGTGACTGTCCAGGTTTTCCTAGACCTGCCCAGCCCATCAGGACATTGGGTTCTAGTTCACCCCGTCATCACCATGCTGTCCAGTCTCAGTGCCAATGCTTTCCCCACCCCCACTGCATATGTACTTGCTCCAGTGTGTGAAATATCGTGGGCAGCACCGGCTGCACACACATGTTCTCCTGGCATTGTGAAATGAGACCCCTGAACTGTCCCCCTGCAAAGAACCCCCCGATTGTGGGTACCATGGGGCTCCAGCATTCACCAGGCCCATGTTCCCCGTGTGCCCAGTACCACCTCCAAATGCCAGGGGCTCATCTTTGCAGTCTTCCAGCTCCTAAATTTAGAAGTGTGGATTAAATCCAAGTAAATGAAGTTATATAACTTCATGTCCCTCTTTACTGTTCCTCCCCTTGGAATAATCAGCCTTAATCAGCTAATGATGGGGCCCTGAATGCAGCCCCAATCCTCAGAGAAGCTATTAGGCTTACACAAGGAGTGACATTGGCCTGGTGTATTATGAGGCTTTAAAATACGTTCTTACTCTCTCTTTCCTCTCTCTTCCAATCCCTCTCCCTCGCCCACACATTCTAACACACACATGCACACACACACACACACGCACATGCTTATACACTCCCCCAAACATGTCCATCAAATTCTCAAGCTGCTTAACTAGTCTAGGATCAAATATATGCAAACTGAGAGAAGGTTTTACTCATCGGTGGTTCAAATTTATCACCTAAAAATAAATCACCTCAATCTGTAATGACAGCTAATCCAGGAAAGAGGGGAGCCCTCTGCCATGGAACTACAGACTGAAGGGAAAGGGAGATGCAGGGAGGGAGGTTTGAGAACTTCCTAATCATTAGAATCGTCCAGCAACAGAATGGCTAGCCCGAGGAAGTAGTGAGCTCCCTGTCACTAGAGGCGAGTGAGCAGAAGCTGGGGATAATGGATGAGGATTCCTGCACCGAGCAGAGACTGAATGGTAACTGACAATTATACAGGGTCAGCTATGTGCCAGGAATTATGCTCTACAGGCACTATAATAGAGATAACAAAAAGGTTTCATCTCAAATGCCAAATCCTATCTATGGGAGTGGCTACCTGGAGCTCTGAACACCCAGAATGATTCTGAGGCTCAGGGAGAAAGAATATCTTGATCAATTCACAATGTTGTCCATGGTACAAAAGGAGAAAACTGAACCGATGACTTGATCGATTAGCAATGTCTGCCATTGATGCAGGAGAATACAGCAGATATGCTATGTGCCAATGATGTATCTTATCTTGTCATTTATTAATCCCTTTATAGATGAGGAGACCGAGATTCAGAGGTTCACAGTTGATAAGTGACAGAACCAAGATTTGGAACCAGATATGGCTCCAAAGTCTGTGCTAATGGCCACTGTACTATTCTGCTTCTCAGTGATGCAAGGAATGGCCCTGGGCCTGAATATGCAACCACCAGCCAGGAGTGAACTCTCATTTTCAAATGCCATAGGTTTCTGAGTTCGCAACCTCTGAGTTGTAGGTTCAAGGAGGTCTGCAGGATGCCTCAAGTAGGAGGCATGTGGTCCACCCTCTGACCCTGGACA